GCTGTAGCACTTATAGGCACTGCAGATGTGTGTAAGCATGTTAATGTTGTTAATATTCATCAGTTGTTTTATCACTGAGGGTCTTAGTGAGGGAATGCTTGTGATGTCCCGCAATGTGTGGTAATCCTACTCTGTAGTTTCACAGTGGTCGTGTTTGCAGCTCCCAGAGCTCTCCCAGCTATCAGCTCCCAGCAGCCACACGCCCTTGGCACCACTGCAACTGCTACTGATACGTCTGGACCTGGACCACCGATCACCCAACTCGCACCTAAATTCAACCACACATGTAAAGAAGCCCTGAAACTGCCCTGGCAGCACAGAGTATTTTAAAGACTTCAAAGTCCAAAAAATCATCAGCTGGAGGGAGGTAATGTAAAGCTACAAAGAGGGACAGGCTGCAGGACCTTGTTCTGTGACTTACCCAAGATACTTGCCCTAAGTTTCCCTCTCCCATGAAGCAGTTTGTGTTTTTCAGCCAAAAGGAATAAATTCCTCTGTCAGTACCTCTCTTCATGCTGCCCTGACTCCATGGCCCGAGAGATGCTGCCAGCAGGACAGGGATGTCTCAGGGCAGCTTACTGAAGCACTGAGCACCACCAAGCCCACCTACCTTGGAGACACAGGCGGGCCTGGTGCAGGATGTTAACAGCCACTGACCCAAATGATCTTGGGTGACTTCAGAAGGTGCCAGTTCTGCTGCTGAACTCAAAATTCCAGGCCTGGGTGGCGACCCTGGCCCCAGGGCTCTTCCCCTCCCTCTTCCTCTCCCCCTCCTTGCGCAGACGATGCTGTCTGCTGTCTCATCTCTCCTCCAGCTGCTTCAAAATCCTAGCCCACAGGGAGGGTATATAGCAAGAACAAAACTTCATACATTTATTTGCATGGACAAACCAGAAGTGCTTGAAGGTGCACGTGGGGTGGAAGGGGAAGGGAAAAAGAGATAAATTTGTAGGAATTCAACCAGGTGCCAACCCACAAAGGAGAAAAATGCCACTGCCTCACAGGGCACTCTGTATTGTGTTAGCAATTGCAGAGACATACTCATGGGCTTTGCTCTTTGGGGAGCTTCGTTTTGAACATTTAGTTCCATTTCTATGAGCGAAGGGATTTTATATAGCCATCCAGTCCTCTGGGATGCAGATCCTTATCCTTATTCTAAAGCCAGAATTGGCAGATGCTAACCAGAAAAATACCCAAACATATTCTCTGCTTCTGGAGCCGAGTCTACGAGCAGGCAGTGAATGACACACTCCAGCATGTAAACACGCAAAATGCTCAGCAGTAACATGGGCTGTTGGTGTGCAACATTCACAGCCTGCTCATAAACCTGTGACAACATAGCGAGTCACATTTGCAGGGCACCACTCAAACCTGGCTCTCAGGAACACTGTCATCACCTGAGAAGTGGCACCTTACTGCAGGCCACATTGCCATCTGTGAGGTGTACCTGCTGAAATGGGACTGCTAAACTGTGGTAAAATGCAAGGAATTATGAAGTAGGGGTGTTTTGGAGGAATATCTTTGTCATTCCCCACTGAGAAGAACTGACAATTTATTATATATTTTTTAAATGTTCTTCCCCCTCTTTATTCTTTCTGCTTAAAGTCTTCTTCTTCAGAGGAAAAGATCCTTCAGAACTCCCAGCACTGGGAGCATCCTGGGGGCTCAGGCTGTAGTTGGGGGGCAATGAAAGGTTACTGGGAGTCCCCAGTAACTCCTTTTAAATATACTCCCAGTGACTTTCCAGTGATGTCTAGAGCCTCCTAGTACGCTTCAAGCGCCCATCAGTGCTATCTAGAGCTTCCCAGTGCCCACCAGTGCTGTCTGTCTAGAGCTCCTCAATAATTTCTATGTCCTCCTTTGGGCTTTCTACACCCAAAAAGATCATGAAATGAAGATTTGGACCCACGCCAAGAAGGTTTGGATCATGAAATGAAGATGAAATGAAGATTTGGACCCACGCCAAGACGATTTGGATCATGAAATGAAGATGAAATGAAGAATTGGACTGAGAAAGGTGGTTTTGAATCATGAAACAAAACTCTGTGTCCCAAAAATGAGGCTTTAAGTTCTCAAAATGGGGTTTTCAACAGAGAAGTGAGGCTTTGGGCCCACAAAATAAGGGGGATGAACTGGAAAAGGAGATTTTGAACCATGAAACAAAATTCCATGTCCTGAAAATGAGACTTAAAAGTTCTCAAAACTGGGTTTTTGACAGGGAAATGAGGCTTTGGACCCTGAAATGAGGCTTTGGATCCTCAAAATGTGGGGGTTAAATGGAGAAAGGAGCCTTTAGACTCTGAAATGAGGCTTTGGGTGATTCATATGAGGCACTGGCTCCTTCGAATGGGGGGCTGAGCCCTCAAAATGGTGGTTGAGCTGACCTCCCATTTCAACCCTCAACATGAGGTTTAAAGCTTACAAAATGAGTATTTTCACCCTAAAACCAGACTTTGGGTTCTATGAACAAGGCTTTGTACCCTCAGAACGGGTGTTTGAACACTTAGAGAAGCATCGGGACTGTGAATGGGAGGGTTTAGGCACAAACAACTGGACTTTGGACACTAGCAAGGACTGTTTGGTTACTAAAAATGAGGTTTTGAACTCTTCAGACTAAGTTTTAGACCCTAAAATTACACTTCGGGCTTTAAATCGCGGCTACGGGCCGTGATGAGGGCGCGGGTTGCCAACCAAGGCCGTGGGCCCTCAGCACCAGCGGGTGTGCGCGGGGCCCCGAGGCACGCTGGGAAATGTAGTCCTTCAGCACGGTGCCCACGGTGCCCCAACCCGGCAGCAGTGCGCACGCGCGCTGCCCCGAGGCATGCTGGGCGATGTAGTCCCAGAAGGGGCTCCCCGCCTCCTCTCGGGCGCCCTTTCCTCCGCCTCAGACCCTAAAAGGAGACTTTGGGCCCCAAAATGAGATGGGGGCCTAAAAAAGGCTCCTGTGCCCTGAACGTATTGACCATAAGAACGATTCTATAGACCCAAAGCTCAGAGTTTGGCCCCTACAGGCACTTGAGGACCATGAAGTGAAGCTTCGGGCTCTTAAAAAAAGTACTTTGAAGTGAGGAAGGAGGCTCTGGGCCCTCCAAATGCGGGTTTGAGCCTTCAAAATAAAGCTTTCATTCCTCAAAGTAGAGGCATTAAGCATCCCTTCAGGGCATAAAGCTTCTTATCTCAGTCCAAACCTTCATGTTGAGAATTCAAAGCCTCTTTGAGGGCTCAAAGCCGCAGCTGAAGGACCCAAAACCTCGTTTCAGGCTCAGAATAGTCCTTTTAAGTCCAGGACCCGATGATAAAGGCTCAAAGCCCCATTGACAGAGCTCAAAGCCTTGCTTCAGGGTCTGGAGCTCTGTTTTTCAGGCCAAAGCTTGATTTGGACGATGCGGGTCTATTTTGTGAGGGCTCGGAGGCCTCCGACCACCAGCAGGGTGCTTTGGGACAGGGAAGAGGCCGTGTCTGTGTAAGCACTGCTCAGCAGCAACTAAACCATCAACACTGTTTTCATCACAAATCCCAAATCTCACACTACTCAAGCCGTTACAAAGAAAATTAACTCTGTTCCAGCCTCTGACCCCTTGGTCTTGATGACAGTGTGTGCCTGACTAGGATTTCTGGGTCAGAGAGCAGTTGGTGAGGGCAAACTCTAACCCTAAACCCTAACCCCAATGACAGTAACCACTAACCCCAAGACTAACCCTAACCTCAAACCCTAACCCAAAGCACTAGCCCTCAAGGATAACCCTAACCCTAACACCTATCCATTAAACCTAACCCCTGACCCTAAAGATAAACCTAACACTAAATGCCAACCCTAACCCTAAACCCCAAACATGACCCTAAACCTAAACCTAAGCACAAAACCTAATGCCTAACCCTAAAGCAAAACAAAGCCATAAACATAACCCTAATGAATGTGGATACCCCAAACCATAACAGCTAACGACCAAACTTAACCCTTAATCCTAACCTTAAAAATAAACTAAACCATAACCCTAAACCTAACCCCTAGCCTTAGCTGGAAAACTAAATTTCGATCCTTAACTTAACCTTAAAGCTAACCCTAACCCTAACCCGCTCCCTTAACCTTAACTGTAACACTGAATGTAACTCTAATCCTAACCCTAGACCCTAACCGAAGCATTAACCCTAATCCTTTCCCCTAATCTTACATCCCAAATCGATATCTGAACCTAATTCAGTCCCCTAACCCTAATCCTTATTGTAACTCTAATGCTAAACCCTAACAGCAAGCCCTAACCCTAACCATAAACCCATCCATAACCCCTAACCGTAGCACTAACCCTAACCACAGCCCTAACATTAAAGCTGAACGTAACATCAAACACTAACCCTAAGGCATTGTATCTCAAATCGAAAAGGCATTGTATCCCAAATGGAAGCCCTGGGCCCTAAAAATTAGGTTCTGTGCCTCAAAATAAGGCTTTGGGGTATTCAAATGATGCCTTGGAGCCTGAAATGGGGCTTATGCCCTAAAACTGATCAGTTGGACCTTAAAATGATGGTTTAACCCCCATAAACGGGGCTTTGAGTTCTCAAATAAGGGTGCTAGATCCTAGAGTGAATCTTTAAGCTTTACAGACGGGTGCTTGGCCCCTGGAGGGACGCTTTAGGCCCTACAGCGTGGGCTCCGTACCCTAAAGAGGATCCCCAGGGCGGCCATTTCGGGCGGCCCCGCCGTGACGTCACCGCGCGCTCCGGCCGCCAGGGGGCGCTGTGATGGCGGGACCGGGGGTGGAAGGGGGCGTGGCCTGTACCGGGAGGGGGCGTGGCCTGTGCTGGGGGCGGGGCCCCGGGGCCGGAGCCGCGCGGGAACCGAGGGCGCGGGGCCGGCGGCGGCGGCGGCTGCGGGTGAGCGGCGGGGGGGGGGGGGGGGGGCTGGGAGGGGGGCGGCTCCTCCCCGCCCCCGGACCACGCAGCGAGGGGGGGGGGGGGGCAGCGGGAAGGTGCCCCGGGGGGGCTCGGCCGGGGCTCACCGGGAGCTGGGGCGGGCTGGGGCACCGGGAACCGGTGTGTGCCCCGTGCCGGGCCGTGCCGGGCCGGGGGGCGCAGCGGGGGGCGGCGGGGAGCGGAGGTGAAGCCCCCGTTATCCCCCCCCCCCCCGCCAACCCCCCGCTCCGCCAAGGGAGGCTTGTGCAACGCGGCCGGGCGGTTGGCAGCGAGGTTCCTCTTGCCGGTGGCTTCGGCTGCGCAACGGGGGGGCGGCTACCGGGACCCCAGCCCCTGCCCCGGGCACGGCACGGCTGGGCACGGCTCGGTACAGCACGGCTGGGCACAGCTCGGGCACCGGGGCTGGCACAACGCGGGGTACCACCGAGCCCCCCCCCCCCCCCTCCCCGCCAGCCCCCGGTACCGGTGTCTGAGCAGTCCCCGCTCGCTGTCCCGGCAGCTCGGAGGATGGGCTCGGTGCCGGAGGAGCTCAGCCTCGTCCCCCTGCACCGGCGGCCGGAGCTGCTGGAGGCGTGCGCCGAGCTGCTGGCCGACCAGTGGGGCAAGAGCCGGGCGCTGCGGCTCCACGCGCTGCAACGCTCCTCCGACGCCTTCCCCACCTGCCTGGTGCTGCTGCGGACCCCGGGCTCTGCCAAACCCGAAACCCCACCGGGGGAACCGTGCCCGCTGGTGGGACACGTCCGGCTGTCCCGGGTGGCCGGCCAGCCCCGCGACCTCTTCGTGGAGAGCGTGGTGGTGGCCCGGGCGCTGCGGGGCTGCGGCTACGGGCGGCGGCTGATGGAGGCCGCCGAAAACTACGCCCGCGCCCGCGGCTTCCAGCGCCTGCATCTCAGCACCCACGACAAGCAGCACTTCTACGCCCACCTGGGTTTTGCCCTGGCCGAGCCGGTGCAGAGCGTGCCCTTCCTCAGCCCCGCCATGCCCGCCGAGGCGCTGCGGGCATTCGCCGCCCCCGCCAGCCCTGCCGCAGCCTCCTCAGGTGGACCCGCAGCCCCCCGACCCCCTCTGCCTCCTCCTCCTCCCGCTGCGCCCCCGCCGCCCCCCCTGCCGCCCCCAGCCCGGGCGGGGGGATCCCAGGCTGAGAGCTGCGGGCAGAGCCTCCTGGAGACCCCGCACCGCGACGCCAGGGGGCTGCCGGTCTTCTGGATGAAGAAGGACATCTGAGGGCGGGGGGCTGCACGCCGCTGATTAAAAAGCAAGGGCGGGCGGAGGCAGGTGCCCCCTCCCCGCTGCCTGGCTGCTGTTCTTATGGGCTGCCTCCGGACCCCCCTGTCTGCACCTGGGGTGGGGATGGGGGGGTCTTCGCACCCAGTCCGAGCTCGGGGTGCTGGGGCTGGTGAGCAATGCCCAGTGCCACCAGTGCCACCGCTGCCCATGGGGTTCGCCGTGGGGGCGCTGGGGGTGGGCTCCACGGCTGGCAGAGGGATGGGATGGGAGACGGGCGAGGAGAGGTGAAATTTTGGGGCGGGCAGCCGTGCGTGCCGCCTACCCCGCTGCTCTCTCCCCGCAGGCAGCGCCCCACGGGCATGGGGCCAGTGCTGGCGCTGTGGGTCTGCCTGGCACTGGGGGCAGCCGATGGGAAGGGCCCGGCGCCCGCACCCCTGGCAGGTGGGCAGCCCTTCGCCGTGGTCTGGAACATCCCCACGGGGCGCTGCCAGCACCGCTTCGGCGTGGGGCTGCCCCTGGCCGACTACGGCATCGTGGAGAACCGGGGCGGCCACTTCGCCGGCCAGAACATCACCATCTTCTACAAGAATAAATTCGGGCTCTACCCCTACATCTCCCCCGGGGGCGTCGCCCACAACGGGGGCATCCCCCAGCGGGTGCCCCTCCGTGCCCATCTCGCCCGGGCGGCGGAGGACATCCGCCTGCTCCTCCAGCCTGCCTTCAGGGGCCTGGCCGTGGTGGACTGGGAGGAGTGGAGACCCCTCTGGGCTCAGAACTGGGGGGCCAAACGCATCTACCGGGCGGCCTCGGAGCAGTGGGCACGCGAACGGCACCGGGGACCCCGGCTGGCCCGGCGGGCGTTCGAGCGGGCGGCGCAGACCCTGATGGAGCAGACGCTGCTGCTGGGCAGGAGCCTGTGCCCGGGGGGGCTTTGGGGTTTCTACCGCTTCCCCGACTGCTTCAACGGCAACTGGGCCAAGGTGGCCAACTACACCGGGCGCTGCAGGCCGGCCGAGGCGCGGCGCAACAACCGTTTGGGCTGGCTCTGGGCCGCCTCGGCCGCCCTCTACCCCAGCATCTACCTGCCGCTGGCGCTGCCGCCCGCCCTGCGCCGCCGCTACGTGCACCACCGGCTGCGCGAGGCTCTGCGCCTGGCCGCCCGCGGGGCCACCGGCCGCCTGCCCGTGGTGGCCTACTCACGGCTCTCCTACCGCCGGTCGCCCCGTTTCCTGGAGCCGGTAAGGGCTGGGGAGGGCTGGGGGCACCGCTCGGTGTTGGGGCACGTGCGTGTTGTGACCCCCGGACGTATCTCTGCCCGCCCTCGCAGGCCGATCTGGAGCACACGATCGGGGAGAGCGCGGCCCTGGGGGCAGCTGGAGTCGTGCTGTGGGGGGACATGTCCTACTCCCGCTCGGCGGTGAGTACGGCTGCCCGCTGCCCCGCCACGGGCTGGGACCGGCTCGGGAGAGGAGGGGAGGCTGCGGGGACCCCATGCTGCCCCCCAGGGCTGGTCCTCACGGCAGCCTCTCCCTTCTCCTCCAGGAGAGCTGTGCCAGTTTACACCGCTACCTCGTGTCCACCCTGGGTCCCTACGTGGCCAACGTGACGGCGGCAGCGCGGGCGTGCAGCCTCCAGCGGTGCCAAGGCCACGGGCGCTGCGTGCGCCGGCAGCCCCGGGACCTGGGCAGCCTCCTGCACCTCGCCGCCAGCCCCTGGCTGCCCTTCCGCTGCCACTGCTACCGCGGCTGGGCCGGCCGGGGCTGTGCCCAGCGGGAACGGCCCGATCCTGCTGCCTGCCCGGCGCCCACCCGCACCCACAGCCTCTACGGGCACCGGGAGGGTCTCCAGCCCCCCGACACCTGCCTGCCGCGGGGCGCCTGGGGGTGGTGAGCGGGGACCGCCGCTGTTTGAGCAGCCTGGTGCGTCCCCGGGGTCTTGTGAAGTTCAATAAATTGGCGCTGCGCAGCTGGCATGGTCCTGGTGGGCAAAGCTGGAGGGGGTCCTTGGTGCCCCCAGGCTGGGTGCGCCATGGGGCAGAGCCCCCAGTGGGGCTGAGCACCAGCTCTGCCTCAGTTTCCCTGTCCCAGCTGCGCCCCAGGGGATAAGGGAGCACGGGGGGGAGCTGGTTTTCCCTCTGCCGTGCTGGCTCCACGCTGCCTGCAGCCTTGATGCAGCCGCCAGGCCCCCCTCCCCAGGGCTATTTTTAGCCCCCCAAACACATTTCGTGCCGTCCTATTTTAAGCAGAGCAGTTGGCGCACCAGGAGCCCGCTGCCCGGCTCCCGGGGGCCCCAGACCGCCTCGCTGGCCCAGGGGAGCGGGGCAGGGGAGCCATGCCCAGGGAGGCTGCCGAAGGTAGGCTGGGGACAGGCGAGGGGCCGGCGGGGACACTGGCATCTGGGGGAACCCTGCGGGTTGGAGACAGCAGCCAAGCTCCCCCCGTGGGCAGAGATGCCAGCCCAAGGAAGGGCAGGAGGGGTGCGGGGGGCTGCGGGGGCAGCAGCTGGCCCAGCACCCAGCCAGCTGCAGGCGTGGGGGCACCGGGTTCCCAGGAGCAGCCCCCAGCAAAGGGCAGGGACCCACGGTGCCCGCAGGGTGCTTTGGGGGTGGCGAGGAGCACCCAGCCCCAGGGGGCACGGCCCTGCCATGCACCAGTGCTGCTGGAGGCCCCCACAGCCACCACGCACCCCAGGAGTGGGCACGGGGCTGCCCTACTGTGCTTGGCCACAGGCGCAGCCCCCCAGCCCTGCCCCCTGCTCCCAACCACGCCAACACCTCTAAAATCCCCCTTCCCTCGTCCCCAACTGCTTCCTGGGACAGCGCTGACCCCGCTGGAACCCTGCGTGCTCCCCAAGCCCCCTCGCCATCCTCGGGGACGCAGCAGCACAGCGCGGGGCAGCAGGTCCCCGGCCCCACACCTCCAGCTGTGCATCCCCAAGCAGCAGCCGAGCGCTCGGGCACAGTGCCTGCGGGGACAGCCAGCCCCGGCGGCAGCCTGGCACGGGGCTGCCTGTGCCCACAGGGAGCAGGAGGGGGCAGGAGCACATTCCTGGCCCTGGGCAGGCGCCAGCCCCACTAACAGGCTCTGGGACCGTGGCCACCAGGCTCCCACTAACTGCTCCGATGACAGCGTGCGGCGGACGAGGGGACGGCCAGCTCGCCTGGCCCTGTCCTGTCTGCGGCAGCTCCGTGCCAAGAGATTGCTGGGTTGGCACCCATCAGCATCACCCCCAGGAGGGGACGTGGGCAGGTGGGGGGCTTCTGGTCCCTATAGGGGTGCCCAAGCTGCATTCACCCCTTCCTCTGCTCCTGGCAGACGGCGCGAGCAGGGCGGAGGGCGCCGCGCCGCCAGAGCCCGCCGACCCCGAGGGGGCTGATCCCGGAGCCATCAGCCTGCGCCCCGTGGAGTCCATCAGCGACCTGCACTGGGCCTCGGCCGGGCACAAGGGCAGCGAAGGTGAGAGCAGGGCAGCGGACACCAGGGCACGGCTGCTAAACCCTGTGGGGAGCGTGGCCAGGCACTGACCCTGCTCTTCTCCGCCCCGCTGCAGGGAACGGCCCGGCTCCATCCAGCGCCCAGCCGCACCGCCTGCCCCACAGCCCCCCACGCCTGCCCACGCTGCGCCCCGTGCCGCCCAGCACCACCTGCCCTTGCCCCGGCCGCCCCCTCTTCCTCGCCCTGCTGGGCCTCCTGGCACTGGCCAGCCTGGTCCTGGCCACGATGGCCATCTACCTGAGCGGTACGTGGGACCGGGCAGGGCAGGGGGAGGCGGACACGGTGCCACGCGGCGCCGGGGGCTTGGGGACAGCCGGTGGCACGTCCCCAGCATCCCCCCGTCCTCCCCTGCAGTGCTGCAGAGCCAGTCGGTGCAGGCGCTGGCCCAGTGGCTGGAGAGCCAGGAGGACACCATGCGTCAGCTGCGGGCCACCAGCAGGCAGCTCTGGGCTCGCCTCAACGCCAGCGCTGAGCGCCGCTGAGCCGCCCCAACAGAGGAGGAGCCCCAACATTTATCGCCCCCGTCCCGCTCCTCCCTGGCAGCGTCACCCCCAGGGCACACGGGGGCCAGCCTGCCCCTGCCGTGCGCCGTCGGGGAAAGGGAAGGGCCTGCAAGGACGGGCACCTGCCCCGGCCCTTCCTCCGCCAGGCACAGAAGGCGCCCTGCCATCAGTGACCTCCTCTAATCAAGTCTTAGAAAATTGCCACCGTAACCACATTCCCGGGGTGGCCGGTGCTGACGGCAGGCACGGCCCCAGCCCAGCCCAGCCCCAGCAGTGCCTGGGGAGCGGCACCAGCCCGACCCCGGGAGGCACAGGCGGCACTGGGGTCCCCGTGCCACCCACCCGGCACTTGTGTCCCACAAAAGGACTCTGCCACGTAGAGCAGCTGGCATGACAAGGGGCCGGAGCGGTTTGCCAGCCCCGGCATGGAGGAGGCACGCAGCAGCACACCACCAGCTCCCCGCCTCGGCTCTCCTTTTATCCTTTCTTTGGTTAAATAAAATAAAGGAAGGGGCAGCCCCCTGTGGGCTGCAGATCTCCCATAGCAGCTCATTATTCAGCGGGAGGAGAGCCCATCAACCTTTCCAGGGCCGTCCCCGTGCCCCTGGTGAGGCTGCCAGCCCCTAGCTGGAGGTGATGGCAGCTGCCAGAGCCCAGAACCTCTTTGAAGGCTCGGTACGCCCGCTGGTGTGCCCAGCTGTGCGGGTACAGGCACTGCAGGCCAAAGGGGACGGTCTCCTCTGGGGGCTCCCTGCTCTGAGCAGGCAGTGGGGCATCAGCCACGACCCAGGCATCAGCCACCACCGTCCTGGCTCTGAGTGGGGTGCGGGGAAGCCGGCGGTGCTGGGGGCAGCACCTCGATGAAGCACGGGACATCTGGGCAGACACGGTGCTGCTTCCACCGCTCACTCTGCCTGGGCTCGCTGCTCGCTGCTCTCGGTAGCCAAGGCTTGGCTACCCCAAGGGAGGCTCCTGGCGTGGGGCAGCAGACGCCCAGGGCCATGGCACACTGGTGAGAGATGCGGGGAAGGGGCTGCCAGAGGAGGTGCCTCATCCCTGCTCCCAGCTCTGACCCTATCCCCGTCCCATCATGTCCCTCAGTGCCCCATCCCCACCCCATTTCAGTCTCCATCCCTGCCCCATCTCCATCCTATTCCTGTCCCCATCCCTGCCCCGTCTGTGCCCACACTTGTCCCCAGCTGTCCCCAGATCTCGGACAGTTGCACCAGATGATCTTGGAGGTGTTTCCCAAATTTAATCTTTCTGTCATTCTATGATCCTCTGTCCCAGCTCTGACCCTATCCTCATCCCATCTCCATCTCCTTTGGTGCCCCATCCCTGCCCCATTTCAGTCTACATCCCCGCCCCATCTCCATCCTATTTCTGTCCCCATCCTTGTCCCCATCCCTGTTCCAGTCCCTGCTCCCAGCTCTGACCCTATCCTCACCCCATCTCCACCTCCCTCAGTGCCCCATTCCTGCCCCATTTCAGTCTCCATCCCTGCCCCATCTCCATCCTATTCCTGTCCCCATCCCTGTCCCACCCGTGCCCGTACTCATCCCAGCTCTGTCCCTATTCTCATCCCCTCCTCACTTCCCTTTATTTCCCATCCCTGTCCCCGCTCCGTCCCGTTCCTTTTCCCATCCCCTCCTTGCTCCCCGGCTGTCTCATCCCCACCCCACCCCATCCCATCCCTGTCCCTGACCCCGTCCCCAGTTTCGGTTTCCCCCTCCCCGTTTTTCCCCGCACCCCTCCCCGCAGTTTCGTTTCCAGCCTCGCAGCTGACGCCGTCAGAGACGGAAACCGAAAGCGGAGAGGAGCCGAAAGCGAAATTGGGAGTGGCTGTGGTTAAGGCACCGAGGGGCCGGGGGGGGGGCTCAGGGACCCCCGGTCCCACCCTCTCCATCGGGGTCCCCCGGCCCCGCTGCCACCGCCGCGCGCTGCGCCCCCGGCCCCTCTGCGCCCCTCGGGGGATGCTCAGCAGGGAGAGACCTGGGGGGGGAAATCCGAGCTACCTTAACCGGGGGCGGTGCCGTGGAGAAAGGGGGGGGTCCGGGGGAGAGGGATATAAAGCCGGAGCGGGAGGAAAGCGGTGCTGAGCTGGGGGAGCCGCGATGGAGCTGTGGAACGTGTCCACCTCGGAGCTGGACGGCTGGGTGGCCGCCACCCTACAGCCCAGCACAGATTTCGCCACGGCGGTGAAGAAGACGGTGCAGCAGATCTGCGACTTCCTCAAGGAGGAGTGCTTCGAGGACAAAACCCGCGTCTTCAAGACGGTCAAGGTGCGAGCTGCCACCCCAATCCCTCTCCAGGACCCCGTCTTGCCGGGGTTGGGGCTGAGCGCCCGCTCTCCTTTTCCCTCCCCGCAGGGTGGCTCGGCGGGCAAGGGCACGGCTCTGCGCAACAACTCGGACGCCGACGTGGTGATCTTCCTCAGCTGCTTCTCCAACTATGTGCAGCAGCGGCAGGAGCACCCCACGATCCTTCGATTCATCGAGAAGAGGCTCTTGGAGTGCAGGCAGAGGCTGTCGTTCACCGTCAGCATCAGCCCGCCCCGCTACAAGGGTCGCTCCCTCAGCCTCACGCTCTCCTCCAACGGCGAGTCCATCGAAGTCGACGTCCTGCCCACCTACGATGCCCTGGGTAGGGGACTGGGATGGGATGGGGCAGGCAGGGGGCACGGTGCGGGACGGGGGTCAAGGTCCCTTTGTCCCCCCAGGCCAGGTGATGCAGGATGGCCCGCCGGACCCGCAGGTCTATGTGGACCTGCTGGACGTGAACAGCAACCCTGGGGAATTCTCCACCTGCTTCACTGAGCTGCAGAAGAAGTTCGTGAAGCGCTGCCCCGCCAAGCTGAAGAACCTGCTGCGCCTGGTCAAGCACTGGTACAAGCAGGTGAGGGGCTGCCTGGCCCCACTGTGCCCACACAGCCCCCACCCCCTGCCCGGGACCCCCTTACCTGCTGCCTCCCCACCCCTGTCTCTCCCCAGATACTGAAGCCACAGTACCCTAGGCGCAGAACTGCCCCCCAAATACGCCCTGGAGCTGTTGACCATCTATACCTGGGAGCAGGGCGCAAACAGCAATGAAGCCTTCAAACTGGCTGAGGGTTTCTGCACCGTGCTGAAGCTGCTGGGCCAGTACCGGGACATCTGCATCTACTGGGAGAGGTACTACTCGCTGCAGCATCACCGGATCGGCGCCCACCTGAAGCAGCTGCTGCGGATGCCCTGGTAAGGACCCGCACCCCTGCCCCGCCATGCTGCTCCCAGCCCCGGTTCTGTGCCGGGCTGACAGCGCTGCCCCCTCTGCATTCGCAGCCCCATCATCCTGGATCCTGCCGACCCCACCGGCATCCTGGGCCAGGGCAAGCGGTGGGACCTGGTGGCTAAGGAAGCTGCCCGGTGCTGCGCTTCCATGCGCTGCATCACCGGCGTCCAGCCCTGGAACGTGCAGGTAGGGCTGCCCGTACCCCCCCCTGACCCCGCAGCCCCCCAGCCCCGCTGCTGCTGCTCACCCACGGTCTCTCCTGCAGCCGGCCAAGCCCGTGACGCTGGAGGTGAGGGGGCTGCAGGGCAACAGGCTGCGCATCACCGTCAGCCCCAGCACCACCATCTGGCAGCTGAAGGAAGAGATCAGCAAGAATTGGGGCATCCCCCCGTACCAGCAGCGCCTGTCCCAGCAGCCGGCCGGGACCCCCCTGATCCTGCACAACGACAAGAGCCTGGCCTCCTACGGCATCTACTACGACACCACGCTGGTGCTGCTGCGCACCGAGCCCCAGGAGATGGAAATCTTCGTGAAGGACATCAAGAACCAGACCATGACGTACTCTGTGCGGCCCACTGACACCGTCTTGCAACTGAAGAAGAAGATCAACAGCCGCCAGGGTATCCCCGTCGAGCAGCAGCGCCTGACCTACGACTCCAGGAACCTGGAGGACCAACACACACTGCAGCACTACAACGTCCAGCCCAAGAGCACCATCTACCTGCTTCTGCGGCTACGGGGGGGAGCGAGGCCCCAGCACCCCGGCTGCCCGTCCTCCTGAGCACCCCCAGGCACCCCACTTTGCTGTTTTCCCCCCCCCCCCATCATATCCCATTTTATTTCTCCTGGAAATAAAGTATTTTAAAGACCACGTGCTGCCCGTGCTTTGGGAAGTGGGGACGGGACAAGGAGTGCGGGGGGGTGACAGTGGTGCCCGGAGTCAGGGCTGGTGTCAACGTCCCTGCAAGGGGGGGGACAGGTGGGGGGCACGAGTTCCCCTCCCTGGGGCTGGTGGAAAACGCTGCGCTTTTGGTTTTAATTAAAGAGAAAATAGGTGGGGGGGGAAGAGCCCCGGTGCCACAGGTGCTGGGGGGGCTGCTGGATCCCAGCAGCGCCTGGCGGGATGAGGACACGACACACACACGGGGGGCACGCTCGTGGGGCCCCTGTGCTGACTCCTCTGCTTTATTGAGCTCAATTAGTACAAGGCCGGGGTGGCTCCCACCTGCCCCCCGCCTGCATCGCCCGGGCCGCCCCCTCCGACCCCCGCAGCGCGGCTGCTCCCCTCGCCCCCGGGGGCCCCCTTTGCCATACCGGGGCCGCCTCGGCCGGGTGCGCGCCCGCTGCTACCAGCTGTTCATAAACAGAGCGGGGCCCGTGCCTGGCCGGGAGCCCCCCACGGCCACTGCGAGCCCCTCTCGCCACGCGGCAGAGCCAGGCCCGGTCCCCGCTCCTAGGCAGCGCCCGGTGCCCGGGCCCGGTGTCACCAGGGGGAAGCGCTGCGGGGACCCCGCGGCCCTCCCCGGGTGCGGCGGCGGCAGGCGGCCCGCGGCTCCTCTCCGGGCCTCGCGGGGGGCCCGGCCTGGGTGCGGGGGGCCCGTGAGCCGCCCCTCGGCCCCTCGCAGGCCGCCTCGGGCCGCTCCAGCAGCTGGAGGAAGTCCCGGTACCAGAGGGTGCGGGAGGGCGCGGGGGCACCCGGGGGTGGTGGCACTGCCGCCCGGCTGGCGGTGATCACCTCCAGCGCCAGGCGCAGCAGGGGCTGGGTGAAGCCGTGCTCGGTGGCGCGGCACAGGTAGAGGCCGGCGTCGGAGCGCTGGACGCTGCGCACGAGCAGCCCCCGCTCCGTCCAAACCACCCGCTCGTCCGGCTGCACCTGCGGCACCAGCGGGAGGTCAGGGTATGGAGGGGGGTGTAGGGAGACCCCCCCCATCTCCAAACCCCGGCACCTACCTCTCGCTGGGGAGCATCGGGGCTGTGCTGGTAGGTCCAGAGCACGCGGGCTTGTAGGGATCGGGGCACGCACTCCAGGAAGGTGCTGCTACCCTCCACGGCGTAGAGCTGCCTCTGGGGCACGCGGCCCCGCCGTGGCTCTGCGGGACGAGGTCTCCCGTCAGCCCCCAGCCCCGCAGGGCAGCCGGGCCCCCACCGGTGTCCCCCTCACCTTCGGAGCAGAGCAGGTTGGGGTCCCCATTGCGGACATCCTGCCGGCGGGAGCGCCTGCAGGAAGGGAGGGAGATGGGGAGCTGCGGGGGCACGGCGCGTGCTTTGCCCAGGTTTTGGGCAGGCGGTGCCTACCTTTTGGTGCTGGGCATGTAGCGGGTGCAGGCGGTGCCATCCCAGGCGCAGTACGGGTCCCTGGCCAGGCAGCACTCGGCACAGGCTTTGCCGTAGGCACTGCAACGGTGCAGGGGCAGCTGGGCCACTGCCGTGGTCGAGCCGGCATAGAGCTGTTGCTGCAGGGAGAAGGGGGCTCAGCACCCCCACTGGGGGACGCAGGGACCCTCCCCATGGGGCCAGCAGCGCCTCAGCCCCTTTGTCTGCTCCCCTTACCCGCTTGGAGGAGAGCTGCAGGCTGATGATGGGGGACGCATCCTGCCGGGAGAGCAAGGGTGGGCGTCGTGGAGAGCCGGGGGCTCACTGGGGGGTGTGGAGCCCCCAGCTGCCACCCCCAGCGCTGGGGTGAAGGCAGGCGGCTGCCCCTCACCTGGAAGACCTGCAGCTCCTCCAGCAGCAGCTCCTCCATGCCGTGCCACCTCTCCTGGGGCACTGAGACCACCTTCAGCACGGTGCCGACATCTGTGGGGAGGGTGGTGAGGCGGAGGTCCCGGGCACAGCCCCGCAGCCGCAGCTCTCACCCCTCGGCCCAGGGCAGCACGTGCCTGTGCCAATGAAGAGGACGTCGTAGTGGCCATCGGCGGCGGAGACGCGGTCAACGGCGATGCGGGTGAAGGTGTAGGGCACGCCGGCTTGCAGGAAGAGGGGCCGCTGGCCGTGGGGCAGCACCGGGTTGTACATGAGCGGGTGGTGCCGGGCAAACTGGATCACCTCATCCGGGAAGTCCTTGGTGGAGCTGAAGGTGCCGAAGGTTTTGCTGGGGCACTGCAGGAGGCAGCGCTGGGTGAGCGGGGTCCCCACTCCCCACATCCAACCCCCCCCAAACCCCGGGGCTGACTGGGTGCCACCCGCCCTGCCACGTACCATGCCTGGCCGGGGGTACGGCACACGAGCCTGGTACGGCACCCACTGGTAGTTGGGGCCCTCCTTGTGCGCAAAGGGCCCCAGGAAAGCCCGGCGGATGTCAGCCATGGTGTAGACACAGACGGCCGAGCCCTGGAAGACGGAGCTGGCAGGGAGAGAGACAGGGCGACGTGAGGGGCGAGCGCGCCTGGGACACGCGTGGAGGGAGAGCAGCTTTACCTGGAGGTGGAGAAGACCGCGTAGACCAAGGGGTTGCGCTTGTCCCTTGTCTGCAGCAGGAAGACGTCCCCTGTGGGCAGGCAGAAGGGACAGCATCAGCGTGGCCACCTTGGCGCAACGGCACCTATCCGCCTGGCCACACCGGCGAGCACTCACGGAGCTCGTCGAAATACGTGTCAGCACCGTCGGCACCCGGCACGGCACAGACCAGCCGGGCCTTCAGGAACGTCGTCCACTTGTTCACCAGGCTCCTCTGCCCCCCCACGTCGTTCTGCGGGGCGAGGGGCAGCCGGTGGGTGAGCGGCGGCGCCCGCACCCCGGGCACCCCTGCCCCTGCCTGCACCCACCCTGCAGATCTGGCCGATGCGGGTGAAGCTGGTCTTGCCCAGCCCCTGCTGCCTCTCCACCGCCGTCTCACGGAAGAAGAAGTAGATTTTGTCGTCATCGGGGTTCTCGCTCTCAGGCACCCAAAAAACATCCACAAACTTGGGCTCTGGGGGCAGAGAGGTGCCACATCCAGAGCCTGCAGGCACCCTGGCAGGCACAGGGACCCCCGGAGAGCCGTAGGCAGCGCTCCCACCCCGTCAGGCCCCATAGGAGGATAGAGGACAGGCACAGCGGAGCCCGGTGAGCTCGTCACCCGGACGGCTGCACCCAGCAGGGTGCCCGAGCCCTCCCACCCGGGTGCCCTGCACTGACCGTTGAGCCAGCGGGAGTCGTGCTGCTCGGTGCGCACGGACGGGCGCGGCCCCAGGCTGCGGAAGATGGTGAAGTCGCGCCCCATCAGATCGGTGGCCACCCCAGAGTAGAGCTCCTCACCTGGCAGGCACCAAGGGAAGCATCACCGGGAGCCCGCTCCCGCTGCCTGCAGCCACAGCCCCAGCTCCTCCCTCGCTCCCCTCCTACCCACGAGAACAGAGGCGGCCGTGTGCCGGGGGTCATAGGGGCTCTTTCCCTTGCCGTCCTCAGCGCGCCTGTGGGTCCAGCTTGAAGACGTGGTCCTGGGGGAATGGGGTCAGCACCGGCAGCCGGGGCCGTGCCGTGCCGCGCCGTGCCGCGCTGTGCTGCAGCTCACCTCCGTGTGCTGGCCGACTTCCACGAAGGCACAGGTGGGGTGGAAGGCGCCGGTGCCGCAGGCATACAGGTGGGTCCGGTTGTAGGCGTGCAGGATCTTCACAAAGTTCATGCACTCCGCCTGGGGGGACAGGGGGCGGCTCTGAGGCCCCCGCTCCACCGGCGCCTCACCCAGCCCCCTGCCCGCCCCATCCTGCACTCACGGTGATGTCCTTGCCAGCCCAGTTGCACTCTTCCCTCCACTCCACCGGTGCAGGGCCAGTAGATCTGCAGGCGGGAGGGGAACGCTAGCAGCTCCCAGGACCCAGACGAGGGCCACCAAACCCGTGGCACGTCACGGGAGGCCACCTCCACCCTGCGCCACCCTCCCGGCCCCGTTACCTTCCTGTCCCGCTGGCCGATGTTGTCCAGGCTCAGCGACACCAGGTGGTTCTTGGCGCCCACGAAGAGGCGGCCGCGCTCCTCGTCCAGCAGCAGGGCCTCGTAGCAGCACGAGCGCCCCAGCTGGAAGAGGCGCAGCCCGTGGCGGGCCCGCAGCTCTGCGGGGCCAGGACACCCCGCTCAGCCCTGCCCTCTGCAGCCCCTGTCCCCAGGGGTCCCACAGAGGACTTTGGGGTCCTGGGGGACCCGCAGCTGCCCCCACATCAGCCCCTGTGCCGCAGAGCTCAGTGCTGGGTCCCGTGAGCTGCAGCAACCGATGCGCACTGGAGGTGGTGGGGTGCCCCAAGTCCCCCGGGCACCCCAACACCCATCCTGGGTGCAAGCAAGCCCAGAGCAGGGCTGAGATCCCAGCCCCACAGTGCGGCCACGTCTCCGAGGTGCCCGGGCAGGGGGCTGCGGCCCCCTCACCGCCCGGTCCCATCCCCCAGACCCGTCCCACCGGCTTTCCCGGCTCCGCCGCCCCCGCAGCGGCCCACCATCCATCTCGGCACGGCGGGCGGCGGGGAGAAAGGGCCTTTTCTCTGCCCCGCGGAGCTAATCCCTCGCGGCAGGAACAAACGGCTCTTTGTCACGGCCGCTCGCTGGGACCCCGTACCCATGGCTGGGGGCACCAAGGTGACTCCCCGACCCGGCACCCCTGGTGCATGGGAACCGGGAGGGGGGGGAGCACGGCATGGGGTCCCCCGGTGGGCCCAGCGTCCCCACGCTCCCCTGTTGCACCTGCACCATCCCTGCTCGGTGGCTGCGGGGTGTCCCCTCGCCCATCCCACCCCACAGGTTGCCCGCACTCACCCGGGAAGGCCAGCCGGAGGCGGGGGGTAGCGGTGGCGGGCGGGGGGCGCCCGGCAGCGGGGCCACGCAGCAGGAGCAGCAGCAGCAGGAGCAGCAGCAGCGGGCTGCTCATGGCTGGTGCCTGGCTCGCAGCCCCTCGGCTGAAGG